GGTCTCGCTGAAGTGCCGGAAACGCTCTTCATATTGGTATTATTCTCTATAGTTTGTAGAGTGCAAGCATGCTTTCTGATTTTCGGATTCAAACGTTCTAAGTATTTTATGTGCTGCCAAGACCGAATTGCGTTACTTGTGCGCTGAGGATAGTACGACATCGCTTTCATCTACGTTCCAGATCTTATCCCAGACACCAACACTATATAATCCCCCAATCAAAAAGCCTGTATCCAAGTCATGACTTTGCGGGGCGCCATCACTTTTCTGGGAGATTCAGTGTAGTGGTCAGATAGAGAGTCAGACTCAGACTTCGAGGAGTTATTCACTCCCAAAACACGCCCACTCCCCACGACCATCGACGACCTTGCAAAGATGCTCGACGAATCCAATTTTTTTTGGCTACATGTCACCTGAAATTTGCACGCTCCTTCTCGACATCAGCGAGTTTGGGCTCGCCAAACCCCGCCCGACTTCAAAATCCATTGGTCTTCCAGTGGGCCCGTGCTTCTATATGAAATATCTGTATCAGGTTTGGTTCGTCCTCTTCACGCCAGGGTCCAGGCATGCGATCAGCGGCTACAGCCCAAAAATTCCACATGGTAAGGACTCGTTTGAAGCCACGGGGATTGCGCCTGACAAAGCGGCATTGGCTGAGGATTACGACGCGAAGCTCTGCGAAGAGGTTAGTCGGATGGGAACCCTTGGAGCAGTCGGCCATAATAAGGTGGCTGGGTGGAAGGCTTCCACTGAAAAGCGACCTGGAGTTTGCACAGCTGACGGACAAAGTCATGGAACTTTCAGGTGACCACCCGATGCGTGTGGGTTTGATGAAATTCTATCAAGACTCGCTGTCCAGATTGATGTCATTTGAAGAGATTTTTAAAGTCCAAGTATTCACTCTGATTTCGGATCCAAATGGTCTATTTTCTGTGCTGCCAGGATCAAATTGCGTTTCTTGTGCTTATTACAGTAACAATATTACTACTGAGCCGAGGATACGAATCCTGAGGACCACGCGAGATCCTTTGTTCTGGCCACATGGTCACTTGCGAAGGTGCTAATTTCAGAGGTTCGTCTTTGCTTGAGGGACAGAGGATAGTTCAATGCACTACTAGTAGTGGGTGTCTCGATTACAATACTTCGCAATTCCTGGAGGCGCTTGCACCGTTATTTCGGTCGCGATGTTCCAGTCGCGGACACACTGGCATTGGCATGTAGTTCGAGAGAGCCCGTCTTCAGGTAGCTTTTAAATACAGCTATAAGGACGCATGGAGTAGTGAGAAGTGGGAATGACAACCAATTAGGGCTGTCAGGATCCAACATTAAAGCGCAAAATTTATTGCTGCTGCGGTGACAGACAAAATATGCGAGTAGAAATGCCCCCTCTACCCTATAAAGGGGAGGTTAGATGAACAGTTATCCTCCTAAATAAGCTCACAATTCACGTACTTTCATATCTTCGTTGGATCGCTTGAAGGAGCACCTTCCTCTCATCTCCTGGTAACTTCAGTCTTGTTACAACAGCATCATAGAGTTAGAAGAGTCTTCGGACGTGGTCTGCACGGAAGGGTGGGTGACTCGAAGGGACGCAGCTTCTGTTAGGTATTAAATCACCAAGGTTCGCGTAGGCTAAAGGAACCTGAGGGCTTGACGCCAATCCGCGATCCTACAGAATCGAGTCCGTTTATTGATTTCTTAAATGTTATTGAGCCTATGACTGCAACCAGGTAGAGATATGTCTATCCAATCGACCGAAAACATTCCGTACGCCAGGCAGTGGACCGAGTGACGGGCTCCAACTTTATCGGGTGGGTGGGTCGACTCTGTCTTGTAGGACATTTGAACTGAGCATCTCGAAGAAATCGGTTTAGGTCCAGTTGGAAAGCAAGCAACAAAAAAAAAGCCTCAAGGAACTTGCAAAATTCTACGCCATGGAGCTGTTGGCTATACGTTGTAAGTGATGGTTGAGTTCAAGCCTGGCGCGTTTTCTGACTGCATGAAAACAAATAAACGAACACAACTCCCAAACACGTCCCGCTGCAATTCCTGTCCAGAGTCCATAGCCACCCACACGACCTCTGTGCTCACATCCAACTTAACGCATTCCGCGCCCGGCACTGAAAAATATCGGCAGTTCTACTTTTCTGATCTCCTCTACACCTCAGGCACATCATATCCATGCCTATCGCAATGCATGCGCGTATCCTCCTCGCGAGCTTTGGCTTCCGCCTTCAGCCTGTTCATGACCTTCTTAACCTCATAGTCCCAGTCCGACCGAAGGCAAATGATGATGCCCAGCACAGAGCAATACACCAACGATAGAGTCAGGCCGATCCATAAACCATGTAGCTTCATGTCCCACCAAAAAGCGAGCCAGATGCCTACGGGAATACCAAGGAGGTAGTATGCGCTGGAGAAAGATTAAGTACGTCACGTTAAGTATGGGCAAGTGAAAGATTACCTGAGATTCAGCAAGGCTCCCGTAAACTGTTTACCCATGGCTCTCATAATCCCTCCGGTCACCGCTGAGGTGGCATCAAACACCTGGAAGAGGGCTACCAAAGGCAGCATTGACGCCACCAACGTAATGACCTCTGTATTCCAGTTCCCGGTTAGGTTTCATTCGCAGAAACAACATTATAGCTATTTCGAACCTGGATCGTCATTGAAAAGGTACCCCCAGACGTTGCGAAACACCAGGAACATAGCACTAGGAAAGATGGACGGAGTTATTGGCAAACGAAAGCAAGGCCATAATAACTTGCCTTGGAATCATAGAGAGAACAAGAGCTAACATGATGGCGGTCTTCGCCGCCATTCCAGCCCGCATGGCCTTTTGTTCCCCGAGCAGGTTACCAATTCTGTGTCGATAACGCGATGTGAGCTATCGCAAAACGGAATGACACAAGAGCGGACGCACCGCACAGAAGTGGCCACTCCCAAAGCATAGGGCGCTTGGAAGGTTGTCGATGAGGAAGTTAGTAGAACTGACTGTGTGGCAAGTGACGCGGGACCATGCCTAAGTGACCCCCTCAGTCGGCAGAGGTCCAAAATTAGAAAGTATGAATACGTACAAAGATGCGGCGAGCCCAACCAACTCCCATGCCCACCACTCCGACGCCGTTTGAACTGAGCGAAGGAATTAGCGAATTAGCCAATGAGATGCATAGCCTTACCAACGCCACTCAAGCCTAACTGGATCAGCAGCCCCAAGCCTGTGAACATTCTCCTCGAGGGAGGACACCATGCCGCTCTGTCGACAAAGAATACACCATAAATGATCGAAATGGCTGACACGAGATTGAACGAGATCGCAGTGGCAATTGGAGCGCCAATGAAACCCAGCTGAATGGGTTTAGGACCCCAAACTACGTAGAATGATTAGATGCTGCTTCAAAATGAGGAAAACAGCGAACCAAGGATATAATTCAGGAAAGCATTCAGTGGTGCTACGACAAAGATAATGCGGGTGGGGACTGCGAACAATCCTGTTATAACACAGCTGTAAGCAACCCGGGCTGCCGCTCAAGAGGCGGAATATACCTTGTGACTGAAAATAGCGACTATTGTGAGTTAGGCACGATCACAACAGCATACAAACGGGCGAAGGTATACGTACCGGCTGATACAGTTAAACGCATAGGCTGTCAAAGCATAAAACAGACTTCAGTAACACCACCCAAAAAGGGAACCACACATACATACCTGGCAGCCCTAAGGAAACCCAACGGAGGTAAGTTGATGCCAGGTGGGCTACCTCTGGCTCTTGCCTAAGAGACAGAAGGATGGTTTCTGCGTTGAACCAAACCAAGAACATTGGCTGCAAGAAAAGAATTAATTAATCAAAGTCTACTCGGTCCAAGGAATGCAGACGTGCAATGAGTGACGCAGACATTACCACGGCTGTCGAAACATGACATCAGTCTCACTTGGAAGGAATATATTCAAGCACGGCAGGTAACTCACTCATACGTTGGGACCAAAGACCAACTAACTCGGGATGAGGCGAAGTCCAAGCGGATGGGAGCATGGTGTCGAGAACGCCAGAGAAGCCTTGCAAAACGGTAAAGCCGGTGACACTAGCGGTCATAGATCCCAAGCTAACTGCCGCAAGGGCGTTGGTAGACAACTGTCCAATAGAAACCACGGGAACGATGACTAGAGAATATTCCAAGAGATGAGTTCTGAAGTTGCACACCCGTCAGTATTGCCTTGTTCTGAGAAATAGTGAAGTGGTCATACCCAAAGACTGGCAACGCGTACTTGATGAGGATGCGAAGTTCCTCCCAGAACATGACCATACCGCTGCCAATGTCGACAGATCTGTGCCTGCTCACTTCCTCAACTCGGCCAGCGGGTGGAGATAAGAGGAGTAATTTCGTTTGGTGGAGCGCTGACTTTGGAGCCTCCTTGAAGATCGATACCAATAGTGGGTTCGAGAGGACGGAGGTATGGGTAGAAGCGAATGGTTCCTCTGCGCCGGACGGTAGTTGAATCATCTCCAGGGAATACCAAATCATCGGTGGGCCCTTCGTGCGTCGTGGAAAAGCGTGATAGGACTGCGTAGTCGGAGGGTAAAGGGGGGTCTTGGTCATAAGCATAGGTCGAGGACATGGTGGTCAAACAGCAACAAGATCGGAAAGCGATGAGTTCCTAGTCAAGTCCCGAGTTGACAACGTTAATGAGAGCGGGTCAAGCGCTAGTCTTTAAGTGACACAGAATGCGTAGATCCATCGCAGATTCAGAGCATTTTCCCATCTCTATGCGGAATTCAATCCAGTTTATGCGTCAAGTCTGGTTGGTCTCTATAAATAGACAGCCAAGCTTCTTGTGTCGATTTTTGAGTGGGGGAGCTCCAAAGTCGGAATTCTCGACGCGAGCCGTGTCCCTGGAAATCCATAAGTTACGTACTTGTTGAGACCATAGATAGAAAAATTGTAGAAAAACATACGGAATTGGACCTTTCTAGACGGCCAAAAATGCGCATATATTCACCGCGAGGTTGATTTCGAGTTGATTTGGGAGGTCCACAAGATCTAGAAGTCCAAATTTTCAAGGTATAATCAAGCGTGGATGATAGTGGGTCATGAGGAGAACAAAACATTAGTAAAATCTTCGATGAGCGATATGAATTGTGCTTAGGAAAGTTATGCGCCGGTTGAAGAGGTGTGTTGACGGGTATTTTTGTTTCTGTTGTCACTTGTTTCATTCACCTGGGCCCCTGTACAGATTTCCAAAGTGTTTCTTGTACTCTACGTATGTTTTGCAAAATCTCAAAGAGATTCTGCCCCAGATCCATAGAGCGCTTAGCACGGGGAATGTGTGTGATGGATGACGAAAAGTTACACACGTTTCTCAGGCTGACGGACCAGAATTGAACCACATGTGCACGATCAAACCATTAATTTCTGTGAGTAAGTACCAAGGTTGAGAGAATGACTGGCTTGAGGAGAGGCGAGTGAGGCATTGATTCGACATGGCTGAGCTTGAAGATACCTTCCCCCGCAGCGTTTGACCTTCGTCCTTTACGGAGAAGCTTTAAGCTTTGAGTATGTCCCAACTCGAAATCCCAATTGCGCAAGAATCCAATTTGACAGACAGATAATGCATCAGTTACATGCGCAGGTGCGGTGAGGTGCGGTGTATGTATGCCACTAGGTATACAGCCGACATTCCCGGAGTAGACGCCCAACCTTCTGACGCCCGAGACGTCATAGAGCCCAAGCTACCCAACCGACACAAAAAGCAAGATCCCCCAATAAACAGGGAGTGTTTTGACCTTCAGCTTCATTTTCGAACCGTCGCCTACACCTCATGCACACCACTTCCACGTCCATGCCCATGACCAAGCAAGCGTGTCTCCTCCTGACGTGCCTTATCCTCCGCCTTCAGCCTGTTCATGACCTTATCGACCTCATGGTCCCAGTCCGATCGGAGGCAAATGATCGTCCCCAGTACAGCGCAGTACACCAGGGAGATGGTCAACCCATACCACAAACCATGTAGCTTCATATCCCACGAGAAAGCGAGCCAGATGCCGAAAGGAATACCGACGATATAGTATGCGCTGCAAAAGGTTTGTCAAGAGGTATGTGTGCAAGAGATCCGGAAAGATTACCTGAGGTTTAACAAAGCTCCAGTGAATTGTTTACCCCTAGCTCTCAGAATCCCTCCCGTAACCGCTGCATTCCCGTCGAATACCTGAAAGAGCGCTACTAAGGGCAAAATGGATGCCACCAGACCAACGACCTCTGTATCCCAATTCCAAGTCAGATTCCTTCCACATAGAAAGAACTGCTTAATTCAAACCTGGATCGTTATTGAAAAGGTACCCCCACACGTTTCGGAATATCAAAAACATGGCACTAGAAGAGCAAGACAAAAGGTTTGTCAATGGCTGCGAGAAGTGAATGCTCGAACGGCATACCTTGAGATCATAGAAAGCAAAAGTGCCATTATGATAGAGGTTTTAGCCGCCATGCCCGCCCGCTTGGCCTTCTGTTCCCCGAGGAGGTTACCAATTCTGCATGCATCTGGATCAGCTATCGCAGCACAGAGCGGAATAAAAAGCGGACACACCGCACGGAAGTGGCAACTCCCAATGCGAAAGGCGCTTGAAAGGTCGTCGATGCGGAAACTAGAAGGACGGACTGTGTGGCAAGTGCTACTGGGCCCAGCCTAGGCGGCGCATCAGTAAGGAGGGATTGCGACAAACCACGGATACTAACAAAGACGCGGCGAGACCAATCAACTCCCATGCCCACCACTCCGATGCCGTTTGACCTGAGTGATCAAATCAGTGAATGAAGTTGGTTGATTGAACCAATAGGCTCACCGACACCACTCAAGCCTAACTGGACTAAGACTCCCAAGCTTGTGAACATCCTCCTGGAAAGCGGGTACCACGCCGTTCGATCCACGAAGAAGATACCATAAATGATTGACATCACCGAAACGAGATTGAAAGAGATCGCGGTGGCGAGTGGGGCGCCGATGAAGCCTAATCTGAATGGTTTGGGACCCCAAACTGTGTAGATCGGTTAGATGACGTTGCGAAGCGAAAGAGGAGGAGTTTACCAAGGAGATAGTTCAAGACAGCATTGAAAGGTGCTACAATGAAGATAATGCGAGTGGGGACTGTGAACAACCCTGTTATAAGAGAGTCATGAGCAATCTTGGGTGATCCTGATCACAAGAAGCGGAACACGCCTTGTGACTGAAAATAGCGACTAAGGATTGCGGGTTAGGAACAATCAAAACAGCGGATAAACGGGTGTAAGTACCGACTGATACAGTTAAATGCATAAGCTTAAAAAGCATGTAAGAATAGAGTCGGTGAAAAAGTAAATTCCCATACCGGGCAGCCCGAGGGAGACCCAACGCAGGTAGGTTGATGCGAGGTGCGCTACCTCTGGCTCTTGTCTTAGGAAGAGTAGAATGGTTTCCGCGTTCCACCAGATCAGGAACATGGGCTGTCAGGATAAACTTTAATACCGAACCTGCATAGGTTCTTGAATGCGCTCGTACGATTAAAGATACAGACATAACCACGGCTGTTAAGCGTATTCAGCCCTGCATGAACGAACGTAAAGTACGACAGGTAACTCACTCATACGCTGGGTCCAAAGACCGACGTAGTGGGGATGGGGTGATGTCCAGGCGGATGGAAGCATGGTGTCAAGTGCGCTGGAGAAGCCTTGCAAGACACTAAAACCGGAGACACTAGCGGTCATTGATCCCAAACTAACTGCCGCGAGAGCGTTGGTGGATAAATGCCCGATAGAGATGACTGAAACGATAACTAGGGAATATTCCAGGAGATGGGTTCTGAGATCACGCGATAATCAATACAGTTGAATGTTTTTTATATATAAAAAAGACGTACCCAAAGACCGGCAAGGCGTACTTGGTGAGGATGCGAAGTTCCTCCCAGAACATGGTCGTGCCGGTACCATTATCCGCCGACACATTCCTATCTATTTCTTCTTCAATTCGAGGGACGGGTGGAGAAAGGAGTGGAGTATTTTCGGTTGGTGGAGTACTGGCTTTAGAGTCTCTTTGAGGATAGACACCGATTACGGGGACCGTAGGGTTGAGAGGACTGAAATACGGGGAGACAGAAAAGCTTTCTCTGCGTCGGACGGGTCTTGAGTCAGTTCCGGAGGTTATTCCCTCTCGTGGTTCGTCAGTGGGCTCAAAATCTTCATGCGTTGAGGAAAAGCGCGATAAAATAGCATAGTCTGAAGGCAAAGAGGCGGGGCCTTGATAATGAGCATAGGTTGAGGACATAGCTGGCGTAAACGGCCAACGAAAGCAAGAGAGTTTACACCCGAGTCACACAATCTGAAAGGGTCTCCATCCAGTAGTAAATTTTGAGAAGCCGGGCGGAGACAGGGGCAAAAATATCCAAGTACCGCCCGGCGGGGAAGGTCCGAAGCCGAAACCGCGACACGTGATGGTGTTCTTTTTACCCGACATCCACGACGACCATGGACGGCGAGTTCGAGCTGTCCGCTACCCCGTTGAGACCGCCTCTCCAAAATTCATCGGCACCCAGAGACAAGGAGCCCGATGACCTTCAAAAACTAATTAAATGGCAGGAGGAACGGCTAGCGAGACGACTTCGTGGCGAATACGAGTCCGCGGTGCTCCATCTTTCAGAGGTCGTGAGTTGTTCCCGTCTCTCACGTCATCAGACGCAATATCGACCCCTTTGCTATTAGGTTGAAGGCAACCGTCAGACACCTGTCACCATCTCCTCTGTTCGCGTCGAAGGTGCAATACACACACGAAAGTCTTTCTTAGGCTTCATCATCGACCCCGCGTTAAAGGCATCGACTGTATCTCCCCTCGACTCCCAAACCAATTTAGAATCCGTTCTTCATACCACTCGTAGAATATATCATATGTTGAACAAGTCGGACCTTTTCGCAACGATCGAAGCAAAAGTTGAACGGGCTCGTGATCCTCTCGCAAGTAGCGAAGGTGTCGACCTGGTCTTCAAAACCCGCGAACGAGGCAGATACTACGTGAGTAGCTCAACTGAGCTTGGGAACAATGAAGGTAGTGCGGTCAGTTTTTTTTTTACTTTCAACCTACCATCCAAGCACTCATTAAGGGAAACATAGAGCGCGTCAGCACGTGTCCGTAATGTCTTTGGAGGTGCAGAGACATTCACAGCGAATCTCTCCCTCGGCACGAAAACCAAACGCGCATTCCGCGCTTCTCTGGTGACGCCCTTAACCTCCGACCTCGACACATTCGGAGAAGTTAATGTGTACGGCTTGGAGCGAGACCAATCGTCCTACGCAAGTTGCTCAGAGGGTCTCCGCGGGGTCAAAGCTGTTGTCAGGGTGAGCTAGGTCAGCCTCTAACTTTCACTATGCCCTCCTTTCTCATCCATCCGTAGAATGGCACCCCGGAAACAGGGACACATGAATTGGGTTATGAAGCCGTTGTGCGGCATATTTCAGACTTGGCGCCCACTGCATCTATTAGCATGCGAGAAGCGGCTGGGGAATCGCTCAAGTCGTCGATTTCTCACACTTACCTCTTCGACACCAGAGATGACCGCATGATGGCCAAGAAGGGGGTATACGCAAAACTATACCACGAGTTTGCGGGTTTGGGTGGGGATGCGTCATTTTACAAGGCAGAAGCGGAGGGTCAAGTATCAAGACCCGTGTCTAACGGCGTTGTAAGTTCTTTCCTCGGAAGTAGTTCATCAAGGTCTAACGCCTTTCCAGTCGATCTCCCTTGCAGCACGCGCAGGTCTCCTGTCTAGTCTCAAAGGGTCCACACTCTTTTCAGATCGCTTCCAATTGGGAGGGCCAACATCCATCCGCTCCTTCAAAGCAAATAGTATGGGTCCACGGGATGGACGTAGGTCCCTTCACCCTCACCACTCAGTTTAGCGCGTCTGATTGAACTCACTCTCTTCTCAGCCGACTACATAGGCGGTGATATCTACTATTCAGCAGGCGCCAGCCTCATATCTAATATTCCCAAAAAGCCACACTGGCCCGTCAAGGCTCATCTGTGGGTGAACGCTGGTCGGCTAGACGCCCTGGATAAATGTACGTCGATCCCATCCCATCCTCGTTCGTGTTGTGACTGTGTTCAACCTGATTACAAAGCTCGACCCTTGTTGGAGAGTATCCAAAATACCCTCTCTCGTCCATCAATATCAGCTGGGGTGGGTCTTATATACCGATTCGACCCTATAAGGGTGGAGGTGAACTTTGGCGTTCCATTGGTTGCAAGCAAAAGTGATGGGTCGAGGAGGGGAATACAGGTTGGCATGGGGTTAGAGTTTCTATAGAGCGTTGTGAGGTTATTCATCCACATATAATTTGATTTTCAACACTACTATCGTCCGCCGGTTTGCAGGAAGTTCAGCAAGTCCTGCTTGGCCCGAGTACTTATATGATTGCTGTTGGGATAAGACCGTAAGTAAGAGCTCAGGCAGTTACACGTATGGGTAAATGACTGTATAAGTCAATCTCTACCTGTTGGGATAAGACCGTAAGTAAGAGCTAAGGTAGAGATAAGTAAGTAATGTATCAGAAGAAATATAAGTAAAGGAATACACACCTCAGGTGGTTACATGTATGGGTAAACGACTGAGGTGCGAGGTACAGAAAGGAGCGAGAAAATTGTATATACGGAAGTAAAAGACAGTGTCAGTAACTTGAAATAGGAGTAAAGAGAGAACGTAGCGTAGGTTTCTAAACCTCAACACTCCCCCTGAAACTGTAGCTCCTAAATATTGATGAACTCCATTCCCATGTGTGATACAGGATTGGAAGGGAATGCCCAGAGGCCATAGTCAAACAACAGTATATGGCTAGATATTGATCTTTTGTCTTGAACCACCATCTTGTCAGCAGTCTTGCCATCCTCTTGCACTACATGTAATGCTTTGTATATCTGTACTTCCTACAGTATGCATAATCATGTTGGGCCAGCTGAGTATCTTGTAACTGCTCATTGTTCACTCATGGGTGTTGATCCCAGATCCACCCATTCTTGCCTCCTCCTTCCCTCTTGGCTTCAGCTATGCGAGAAGTTCAGAGTGAATGCTTCACACCATGAGTTTGATGAGATACTCCAATGTTGGTCAAGAGAGAGATTTTGTGAAGATGTCAGCAACATTCTTGGATGTGTCAATTGGGACAACAATGATATCTTCAAGGTTAACGGCCTCATGAATCCAGTGGGTCTTGACATTGACATGTTTGATTTTGGTATGACCACCAGAGTTTTTAGAGAGAGCAACAGCAGCATCATTATCACAGTAGACAGTGATGGGGAGGTTGAAATATTGGTCAATTTCGTAGAACCAAGTGCATACCCATTTAGCTTGCTTCCCAGCTTTGAAAACACCCATATATTCAGCCTCTCTGGTAGAGGTACTGACATGCCTCTGAGTTTTTGCTTTCCAGCTGACTGGGCCTCCAGAAGATATAAAAACAAACCCAGCAGATGATTTTCGACTGTTGGATTCGTCGGCATATGATGAATCAGAATATCCAAAGGGTTTATTAACCCCATCCTTCTGGTATGTGATCACAAGACTACTCATTGTTTTGAGGTACACAAGAAGGTGTTGAACAAGTTTCCAGTGCATTGGTTGAGGATCAGATGCATAACACATTAGTACCATGATGGAGAATGCAATGTCAGGTTGAGTCCCATTGGCAATGTGGTTAAGCATTCCCAATGCGCTCCTATAGTCCTTATTGTGCATAAATTCAGAGTTGGGAGGAGGAATAGGTGTAGGCTGTGATTCAACAAGAGTAATGCCTGGAGGAAGGGGGGTATACTTTGGGTTAGCATTCTCCATTCCGAAAGTAGCCAAGGCCTTCATGATGAGTGGCTTTTGATGGATAGATATGTTGCTGGAAGGGTGGTTAATGATTGTGGAACACTAATCAGTGTCAGTGTCCTTCAGGTAGTGGGACAGCCATAGGGAGTCTGACAAATATAGTGTTTGAAAGTCTGGTTCGGTCCGGTTTTTTGATTCCTAGGGGCATTAACCGTAACCGTAACCGGTCTGCCTTTTCCCCAGAAGTCAAAAGACCAGACCGGACCACAAAAAGACCGCAGACCGTGGTTTTTTGCGGTCTATAGACCAGTTTCGGTCTGCATCGGTTTTAACTGGTTTATGACCGGTCTTTAGGCCACTATTTTAAATTTGTAAATCGGTAAATTTATTAACATCTCTATTAGCTTCAAAACGAGCCCAAGAACGTCAAATTCCGTTAGGAATTGGTGTTTCTATAAAATAAGTCTGGTACATCTATTATTCCCAAAAGTAATTTACATTTTAATTCATATCTCTCTCGTTTTTTTACCAAATCGTACGTTCTTGGGTGCGTTTTAAAGGGTATTTAAGGGGTTACAAAAGACCGGTCCAAACCAGTCAAGACCGGTTCACGTTAACCGGTTTTTTTGTGGTCTTTACATCTCAAAAATAAAAGACCATAACTGCAGGTCCAGTCTTTTGCGGTCTTGGTCCGGTCTGGTTACGGTCTTTTTCCGGTCACGAGACCGGACTTCCAAACACTAGACAAATATGCGGATAAAGGTGTGATGACCCCGTAGTAGTCATAAGCGGTAGTTAGATGCTTGGGATTGTTGAACGTGACAGTTCACGGTACTCATATCCCGATCTCCATGGACAGTTCCGATGGAGATTGCTCTAGCTGCGCTTTTGAGTATTCTCTAGTCTCACGTCCTCTGAGAGTTCAACTAGCCATTAGTAGGACTATATATCAAACGATACAGAGATTGTGGTGGTAGAAAAGATATATTCGCCTCATGTAGGACATGAGGTATAAGTACAATGCTTATATAATGAAATGTAGTAACATATTTAGTAAATGAAAATGCAAAGGCGGGACGAGAGTTGAATCTTGGGGAGTGGGAAGGATACTAATGTAAAGGCAGTGAAGGCTTACTGGACTGACATGTTACAAAGCCCCCCACTTTCCGCTTCCCGATTAATCCAATCGTTGTTCTGGAAATACAATGTCATTGATGCGTTTCTTGTGCCAAGTTGGTTGAAGGCTGACTTTGGAGATCCCCTCCATGACGTCCATAAAGTCCTTGTTCGTAGGTACAGTGACTCACTATAAGTTTTGCACCACTTAAAAAATACTATATCTTCCTCAACTTCTGGGGACTAGTTACCATATAAATATGATAATATACAAATATTCTATATACATCTTTGACATGAATATGAGGTCTGAATCTCATCCTCTGCTTCATGTAGGAAAAAGTGAAAAAATGAGGTTTTGAGAGATTTACCAACACTTCATATGAGGGTCTAGAAAAATGTGAAGAATTAAGTACTTGCTGACTCAAGTATACAGAACTTTGAATGATATCAATTGGATTAGCGGTTGTTGAGATATAGGTGTAAGGAAGGGGCTTGTTTTGGGTAGATCAAAAATG